CTGATTTCTACTTATAACATTTGATGTCATGTGTCATGTGTAGTGGTAGGCAGATAGGATCGACACATGCTTAAGTTAAGACTGTCCTTAGATATATAAAAACATGACGTCAGTGCAACATTAAACGTTTAAAGAAAAAGTAGTTTAACTTAAGGATCGATTTTATAGTTAGCCACACGCAGTGTTTTGACTAATAAATTGACCACACATGCATGTATGACATATAGACAAAAGAATAAAATCAACTTTGGGATCCAAAAGCTCAAACAGAGGATGCTCTGTTTGCAATGATATAGTACTTCTAATAATACTATCTTAATGAGTTTTAGTTATGAACATATAAGAATCTGTCATTACAAAGATCCTGAATATACCTTCCACTTTAAAAGAGGAACAAGTATGTCATCATGTGACTAGGTAAATTTATTATTCCATTGTTTGTTGAGGAGATTAATTGTGTATGAAAAGGTGACAACCTTCACAATTGCGGTCCCGTCATTGCAGAAGTTACACATTATGGACAGACCACGTGGTCATGCAGCTACAGATGATCGTGAGTATGTAATCAATGCTCCTTCTCTAAAGACTTTAAAAGTTTATGGTGAATTTAGTTGGTTCCGTTCATTAGTGAAAATGCCGAAGCTGGTGAAGGCAGAAATCAAGATTGAACAGGAGGACTCTCAGAAGCTTTTGGGATGTCTAACCTCAGCCAAACACCTTTCCTTATGTGTTACCTCCGCCAGAGAACTATTAACGGAAAAATCTGTTAAGAATTAATCTCTGTCAGCTTGAGTACTTAGAGCTATGTACTAATTGCTCTTCAGATTGGCTATGTTTTCTACTAAAACATTCTCCTAAACTGCGAGTTCTGAGGTTCATCAATCAAGTAAGTTATTTGATATGTAGCTGAAATAATGTTGCACCTCTTGAGTTTTTTCCCCCTTAAATCTCATTCTAGAAAAACTGTGTAGATATCTCAGGTAAACTACTGCGGGAGTCTCAGAGAGATCCGAGCTCAGTGGGAGGAACCGTGTTGTGTTCCTCAATGTTTGGTGACGAGTCTCAAAATTGTTGAGTGGATTGGGTATAAAGGAACAGAAACAGAGAAAGAAGTGGCGATTTACATCTTAGAGAAGGCAAACCACCTTAAAAAGATGACTATATCCCGAAAGATCACCAATTTGAGAGAGAAATACCGTACGCTAATAGATTTGGCGTCCAGGTTGAGCTGTTCTAGCAAATGTCGACTACTTGAGTTTGTGTCCTTGGTGCAGCATTGACGTATTAATGGGTTTTGGTTTCTTAGCTTTCACTTCTTAATTTATCAATTATCGTTATGTTTCTATCTATCTCAAAGTTAGTTGTTTTTACTTTTTAATATTATTGTTGACAAAAAAAAAAAATTTATTGTGAGAACCAATCTCCGTATTTTATCGTTTGTTTTGGGATATATTGGATTTTTTTTCCAGTTAAATTCATTGGAATTGAGAGTTTCCGTCTATTGGTTAAATTTTTTAAAATTAAATATTAAATGATTGTTTTTAAGAGGAAAATAAATTTCTTAAAGTGTGTGTTTTTAACTCAAACCTCTTATATTTTGAAACAGATGGAGTAATTGTTTGTAGAATATAGTTCATTATATATTGTGAAATTTTATCTATGTTTTTTTCATATCCGTTTAGGTGGCCCGTCTTCGATGTCGAACTCTCCAACCCGAGGGCACGTGATGCACAGACCACTAGCACCACGTGATGTGTCAAACTGCAAAAACAGTTTGACCTCTTCACTGTCTCCCACCATGTCTTCAACATGCATATTCAAAGTTTATTAGTTGGAGGCTTTAATATTCAACATCTATTACCTGTTACAAGTTCCAAAATATTATCGTATCATGTCGTTTTTTGGGCAAAACGAGACATGATGGAGGTTTGGATTTGTTCAAATTGTAGTCTGTAAGTTGGCACTCCAAAATTCTCAGCCAACTTGACTCGGAAACTAGCAACTTTGTCAAAATCAACAAGACATATCCCAGTTTGTTCGTCTTCGACCTTGATGATAATAGGAGTTAGATTAAGAAGATAATTATATTAAATCACCGTGATTAAATATGATATAATCAAACCTTGATTATGACAAAGCTGTCGGCTTAATTATCTTCTTTTTTTGCTTGCTTGTGAGAAAAAACACTCAATTAGTTCAAGTACATGTTACATGTTCAGCCCTAGTTCAACCATAATTCTCCAGTCTTACATGTTCACTTATGTTTTTATCCTCCATTGTGCTAAGTATGTTGTCCTTGTCACTTTTCCAAACATATACAAGCATAATTGCGTTGGAGTCTTTTGTGACGGTGAAAGGCGGATACTGCAGAAGGATTAGGAGAGAGACATAAAGCGCTCGATCAACTCTTATGATTTTGGTTTTTTTAACAATATTTAACTAGGTTTTTCCCCGAATTCTGATTTCTTAATCAAAAACTTTTACTCAAAACTTTGTTGTTAGAAAGTTACACAAATGATCTCTTCATCTAGAGATTTATATCTTGTCGGATTAATCGGTCAAACATTGACTCTAAAACATGTTAATCTCTCTCTGTATACGGAAAAATAAAAAGAAATAGTAAGAATATACAGAACCACACATATTATCATAACTTGTTTTTATCGAATCTTTGAAGTCTAAAGAAATAGTAAGAATATACATATTCACACATTATCATAACCTGTTTTTATTGAATATTTGAAATCTAAAAAATTGTTTCATACCCAAAAGAAAAAAGATTATTATATTGTATAGTATTATTTCACTTATAACGGTTTCCAGCTTTATTGACGCGTGCTGAGCTTACCAGTCTAGAACATCAATGTCCCAAGTGTAAGTTTTGATCTTCAGATAAAGTGTCACTTTGTCACCAGGTCCAACAATTTTTTCTACGGTATCCGACAAGCTTCTCGACAAGAGGAGAGTGGATAGATCTTGTGGCTTGTAAAGTCCTAGATGGCAATAATTTTCATTTAATACTCCCTCCGTTCTTTTATAAGTGATGTTTTAGAAAAATGTACATAGATTAATAAATCATTTAATTTTTGTTTATTTCTAAACTAAAACATCATTTATTATCTAATCAACCAATAATAAAATAATATACAGAATATAAATCGTCAAAACCAATAAAAAAGTAATTAATTTTGCATTAAAAATTGAAAACATCATCTAGTTAAGAACAAAATTATAAGCTTAAAACATCACTTATAAAAAAACGGAGAGAGTATTAGGTAAGAACATGTACTGTTATTGTACTGATACGATATTTCTTTTGGTACATGTACATGTTCATAACCCATCTCTTTGTCTTGCATTGTGATACAATATAAGTTAAGATTTTTTTTTTTTTTTTTTAATGTGATGCGTTCAAAATGTCTTTAATGGAAAGAGATCATCTCGCTTTATATAGTGAATGATTAATGTATAACGGATAAAATATGTCTAGTCAATTAAGTAAGTACGTAATCAGTTATTTTTTCTTTCTTTAATTTAGTAAAAGGAGTAAAATCGGTTTAATACATAAATTTAGTGTCTGTAACTAAATCTTAAGATTGTAAATTTCATATATAAACAAACAATGCTACATCAAAATTTAGTTGGTAGAAAAAGCCATTTGTATCTCTGTTTCACTGTTTGTATCAAAATTTCTAACAATCAGTCACAAGTTTTCACGTGGCGTCCTTTGGTTTATTTCAGCTAAGTCGGCCACTATTTTGAGCCGTTAATAAGACTCGTTTACGGTCTAATTACGACCACTTTTTTTTTATGATGATGATGTCTTTGTCATTAACCATGCCCCGTAGGACCAGATTCTTCGATTCCAGCATATTCCTAAGTTAAATCCGACACAATCGGATAATCTCGTCAACCACTCACAACACGCCACGTAATCAACGAGCGGGACTCATGCCACGTCGGTCACGGGTCAAGGCTTCATAAGCTCCTATCGTCCGACTTGTTTATTATCCACGTGTTAATCTTCCAGAATAATACAGAGAGAGAATTAAAAAAATAAAAACTCCAAATTAATCTCAGCCGTCAATTTCTCCTCTTCTTCTTCTTCCCCAATTCTCTCAACAGATAGAGAAACCTTAGCACTCTCACGAAATCGTCGTGACGAAACGATAAACCCTAAATCATGGTAAAAGAAACTCTAATTCCTCCGTCTTCTACGTCAATGGCGACCGGTACGGCGACGTCTTCGTCTCTTTCAATGACGTTGTCATCAACAAACGCGTTATCGTTTTTGTCGAAAGGTTGGAGAGAGGTATGGGATTCAGCGGATACGGATTTGCAGTTGATGCGAGACAGAGCTAACTCCGTTAAGAATCTAGCATCGACGTTCGACAGAGAGATCGAGAATTTCCTCAATAATTCGGCCAGGTCTGCGTTTCCCGTCGGGTCACCATCGGCGTCTTCTTTCTCAAGTGAAATTGGTATCATGAAGAAGCTTCAGCCGAAGATTTCGGAGTTTCGTAGGGTTTATTCGGCGCCGGAGATTAGTCGTAAGGTTATGGAGAGATGGGGACCAGCGAGAGCGAAGCTGGGAATGGATCTATCGGCGATTAAGAAGGCGATTGTGTCTGAGATGGAATTGGATGAGCGTCAGGGAGTTTTAGAGATGGGTAGATTGAGGAGACGGCGTAATAGTGACAGGGTTAGGTTTACGGAGTTTTTCGCGGAGGCTGAGAGAGATGGAGAAGGTAATTTCGGTGATTGGGAACCGATTAGGTCTTTGAAGACTAGATTTAAAGAGTTTGAGAAACGAAACTCGTTAGAAATATTGAGTGGATTCAAGAACAGCGAATTTGTGGAGAAGCTCAAAACCAGCTTTGTAAGTTTCTCCAACTTTTGGGGAACCTATTTCAGAAGTTTTTCTCTTGTAGTTTACTCTCACTTTTAATAGCCACGACATTGTCGTATGATGATAGTTACTGTTTGTGGAATGATTAATTGAGTTTCTTATGGTATCTGGTAACTTTTCTAATGGTGCTTTTTTTCTTTTGTTCTGTTTGCAGAAATCAAGTTACAAAGAAACTGATGAGGCTAAGGTTGGTATTTGGAAGTTGGAAGTCTTATCAGTTTTTCTTGTTACTCCATATACTTTAGGTAGATTTCAATGGTGGATTGGGAGTTTAACTTGGCCTCCTTTTTAACTTTGGTGCAGGATGTCCCTCCATTGGATGTACCTGAACTTTTGGCCTGTTTGGTTAGACAGTCTGAACCTTTTCTTGATCAGATTGGTGTTAGAAAGGGTAAGATTTTTTGTTTTTTTCTCTTCATGAAGCTATTATTTTATCTGTTGTATGTATTGAGTTGTGGATGGTTGGTGTTTCTCTACCATAGGTGATTTTTCCGTCAAAATTTTTAAAAAATCTCTCTGGTATTAGAGTGTCTTTGTTTAGTGGGTTGCTTGCTTCATCAGAAGCTTAGCTGGTGAGATTTGATGCTTTACATTATCACTTCTGGTTATCAAATATTTTAAGCCTAGATTTTGTATGGGAACAGATCAATCAAATGACATCTGCCATAGACATGTTGAAATTTTCTAGATGTGTAGGTTAATGGTTTAAAACCCCTTTCTGGTACAGTAGCTTATAGTTTCAGTGTTTACTTGAGAAACAAAGTCCCTGATTCTGTTTCGCTGAATTTTCTTGTAGATATGTGCGACCGAATAGTAGAAAGCCTTTGCAAATGCAAGAGCCAACACCTTTGGCGTCTGCCATCTGCACAAGCATCCGATTTAATTGAAAATGATAATCATGGAGTTGATTTGGATATGAGGATAGCCAGTGTTCTTCAAAGCACAGGACACCATTATGATGGTGGCTTTTGGACTGATTTTGTGAAGCCTGAGACATCAGAAAATAAAAGGCATGTGGCAATTGTTACAACAGCTAGTCTCCCTTGGATGACCGGAACAGCTGTAAATCCACTATTCAGAGCGGCGTATTTGGCAAAATCTGCAAAACAGAGTGTTACACTTGTAGTTCCTTGGCTCTGCGAATCTGATCAAGAACTAGTTTATCCAAACAATCTCACCTTTAGTTCACCTGAAGAACAAGAGAGCTATATACGTAAATGGTTGGAGGAAAGGATTGGTTTCAAGGCTGATTTTAAAATCTCCTTTTACCCAGGAAAGGTGAGTTGATCATTTTGGATTCTATTTTTTTTTTCTATGGCTGCCAATATGTTTTTCAATTTTTTTCTTGAGAGTAACTGAGCTTTCTGGTTTCTTATAGTTTTCAAAAGAAAGGCGTAGCATATTTCCTGCTGGTGACACTTCTCAATTTATATCGTCAAAAGATGCTGACATTGCTATACTTGAAGAACCTGAGCATCTCAACTGGTACCATCACGGCAAGCGTTGGACCGATAAATTCAACCATGTTGTTGGAATTGTCCACACAAACTACTTAGAGTACATCAAGAGGGAGAAGAATGGAGCTCTTCAAGCATTTTTTGTGAATCATGTAAACAATTGGGTCACACGAGCATATTGTGACAAGGTGAATCATCTACTCTCTTTTTTCAAGCCTTGTTCTGTTGCTTGAATCCTTTTTAATAAGAGCACACGAGCTAATACATATTTTTATACTCATGAAAGGTTCTTCGTCTCTCTGGGGCAACACAAGATTTACCAAAATCTGTTGTATGCAATGTCCACGGTGTCAATCCCAAGTTCCTTATGATTGGGGGGAAAATTGCTGAAGAGAGATCCCGTGGTGAACAAGCTTTCTCCAAAGGTGCATACTTCTTAGGAAAAATGGTGTGGGCTAAAGGATACAGAGAACTAATAGATCTGATGGCTAAGCACAAAAGCGAACTTGGGAGCTTCAATCTAGATGTCTATGGGAACGGTGAAGATGCAGTCGAAGTCCAACGTGCAGCAAAGAAACATGACTTAAATCTCAATTTCCTCAAAGGAAGGGACCACGCCGACGATGCTCTTCACAAGTAAAGTTCTGAAAATGCGGGTTT